CTTTGGGGAGAGACATTTTGTTGTTTGCTCTTATTTCTTGTGCCTCTGTGCTTGTTCCTAGTCATTTGGTGATCTATATGTTCCTTCATAAATTATTCAAGGTATCTCTGAGTGTTCAAAGGTGTGCAGGAGTAGAAAATTTGCAATTTCTCTTCTGCTCTCCCTCCCTATTGTTCACCAGTATGCTGCACTGTTGTCACTGGTCCTGGGTGACCCTAAGTACTCCCTGTTTCTAAAGAACAGGAGTGCCTCCAACTGAGCTGCTGAGTTTCACCTTAGGAGCAAAGAAAAGATGGCAGGGGTGCCATGTGCACCACACACTATCCAAAACACTGAAGTCCTGAGAGTCCAAAGGTGAGTGGTGGGGGGATGAGCCATGGGTCCTGGCCATTAGGGACTGTAGCCACAGGCATCCTGGCATTTGGCAAGACCACCAGCTTGAACTGGTCTCTGGATAAGGTGGGGTGGGGCACAAGTTCATCTTAAAGTCCCAAGACACAAACCTGAAGTCCAAAGGCGAGTGTCGGGGGCATGAGCCACGGGTCTCAGCCATTAGGGCCTGCAGCCACAAGCAGCCTCTGGATACATTATTAAATAAATGTTGTTATACATCATTTTAATTTGCATTTCTCACTTAATGTTTTTACACTAATGACTTATTATTTGCTGCTTATACATGTTTTAGACTATGGAAATGATGTTTGATGAAAAGCAAATTTTTTTTAGTTCAAATGGGTTGTAAAGCAGCAGAGACAACTGACAACATCAACAATGCATTGACCCAGGAACTGCTAACAGAAGTACAGTGCAGTGTTGATTCATTAAGTTTTGTATATGAGAGAAGCCTTGAAGATGAGGAGTGTAGTGGCTAGCCACTGGAAATTGACAAGGATAAACTGAGATCACTGAATTACACAAGTAGTTGCCAAAGAACTCAATGTCAATTATTCTACAGACTTTTGACATTTGAAGCAAATATGAAAGGTGAGAAAACTTTTTAAGTGGGTCCCTCATGAATTGACCGAAATAAAAAAAAAAATCGTAATTTTGAAGTGTGGTCTTCTCTTATTTTATGCAACTACTATGAACTATTTCTTGATACGATTGGGACATGCGACAAAAAGTGAATTTTATATAACTGGCAACAACCAGCTGTGGTTGGACTGAGAAGTAGCTCCAGAAAGTACTTGCCAAAGCTAAAGTTGCACCAGAAAAGGGTCATGGTCACTGCTTGGTGGGGTCTGATCCCCTATAGCTTTCTGAATCCCACTGAAACCAATACATCTTTGAGGTCTGCTCAGCACATCAGTGAGATGCACCAAACACTGCACCGCCTCCAGCTGGCACTGGTCAAAAGAATGGGCCCAATCCTCCACAACACCTAACTGCACATTGCACTACCAATGCTTCAACAGTTGAACGAACTGGGCATTGCAGTTTTGCCTCATCTGTCATGTTTACCTGACCTCTCACCAACCGACTACCAGTTCTTCAAGCATCTCAACAAGTTTTTGCAGGGAAAGCACTTCCACAATCAGCAGGATGCAGAAGGTCCTTTTGAAGTTTGTCAAATCTATAGCATGGTTTTTTGTTTGTTTGTTTGTTTTTTGTTTTTTGAGAGGTTTTTGCTATAGGGCGTGTGCACTTGCCAGAAAGACAGAGAGAGACAGAGACAGGAAGCAAGAAATCACCCCTCAGGAGGGATGGCCATGCCACAATCCCTTTCTCCTCCATTTTCCTCTTGGAATCTTGGGCAAGTAGCACACATACCTGGCGTGAGTTTAAGCCACTGGGTCTGGGACTTGAACCACGGTCAACTACATGGGAGTCCAGTGACATAGCCATTACACCAACTGCTGGTCCCTATAGCATGGGTTTTTACACTACGGGAATAAATAAATTTATTTCTTGTTGACAAAAATGTTGATCATAATGGTTCCTATTTTGATCATAATGATGTGTTTAAGCCTAGTTATAAGGGTTTGAAATTCACAGTCCAAAACTGCAACTGCTTTTGCATCAACCTAATATACTTACAGGACTAAACCTGTCGAATTGTTTCTGAATACTCTTCCTTTCATTATGCAGCCTATAGTTCGCTTCTCCTATGCCAAAATCCTACCTGGGATCTAATCCTTGGGATATGAAGCAGAAGCTGCTTAAAAGGCAATTTTCACTTTCATAGTCCTTCGGTCCCTAAGGCTTTCCCACTTTGGGTTACACACAGCTAAGCTCGTTGCCAAACGCTAAATAACCTGAGGTATATCTTGTCCTTCTTTGCATAATATGATGACAGGAGATGAGATTTAAGGTCTCCATAGAGACCCCTATAGGGTTAAACCTTCTAAAAATCATGCTAAGAAGTATCCAAACTTATTATTTTTAATATTTTGCCAGAAGGTGCACGTGCTAGCCAGAGACAGAGAGAGATGGAAAGTAAGAAAGCACTGTCCATGGGGGGAATGGTCATGTTGCAATCTCTTCTCCATCTTTCCCTCCTTTTGAGATTTTGGGCACACGTGGACACATACTCAGTGTGTTTCTCAAGCTACTGGGTCTGGGACTCAAAATTGTGTGGTTGGCTATATAGGATCCAGCCATGTTAATACCATGTCATGGGCTGATCCTCCAATCTTATTTTGATTGCAGATAAAATATTCTTAAGTTATATCCTAAATATGGGGAACTCATTACATAGTCCCTGGCATACTTTTAAAAGAAGGGAGCACAATATTCTAATATATATATTTGTGTTGCTGTGGGTCATCTTTGCACAGTAAAGGCAAGCAATTACAGATAACCTATTTTCATAAACAGGGAAAAGTTCAAACATAACCTAAGGGTCCAATTTTTCCCCTACATTCAATTATACATAATTCAGTTTAAAGTAGATGCCTGTGTGGGACCAGCAGTTGGCGTAATGGCTATGTCGCTGGACTCCCACATAGTCGATCACGGTTTGTGTCCCGGACCCAGTGGCTTAAACTCACGCTGGGCGCGTGTGCGTGCGTGCCCAAGATCCTGAGAGGAGAATGGAGGAGAAGGGATCATCCCCCCTGGGGGGGTGATTTCTCGCTTTCTATCTCTCTGTCTGTCTCTGTCTGTCTGGTGAGTGCACGCGCCCTACTGCAAAAAAAAAAACAAAAAAAACAAAAAAAAACAAAAAAAAACAAAAAAAAACACCTCTCCGAAAATAAAAAATAAAGTAGATGCCTGTGAAAATATCTGTAAATAAATTGTTTAGGATCTACTCATGATAAATTATGGGATCCGGGTTTACAAATGAGTCATTGCAGTTTGACTAGTTTTTGGGGGTAAAGATTCAGAGATAATAACGTAAACAGGTTGGTTTGTTTTTAAGAGAGATTTTTGCTATAAGGCACATGGCACTCTCTGGGGAGACAGACAGAAAGTGAGAAATCACTCCCTAGGCAGGATGGCCACAACACAATCCCTTCTCCTCCATTCTCCTCTCGGGATTTTGGGCATACATGCACACATGTGCTCTGAGTTTTAAGCTGCCAGGTCTGGGACTCAAACCATGGTAGAGTACATGGAAGTCCAGCAACATAATCATTACACCATCTGCTGGTCCAGAATGCATGCTTTTCATTTTTTGGGTTTTTGCCATGGAGTGCATACACTCACTGGAGAGAGAGAGTACACATGCACCTGGCATGATTTTTAAGCCACCAAGTCTAGGACTCGTTGGCCATGTGGGAGTCCAAGGACATAGCCACTATGCTATTTGCTGATCACATGTAAACAGGTTTTATAAAGTATACAGCTTCAAGTACTTCAAGGTTATTAGGGAAGAAAAAAATAAGGTTTACAAATTTAGTTAACATTAGATTTAATAAATAGGTTTTCTAAAAAAGAGTTATTTAATTAATTTATTATTTTTACTACTATTCAATTTGATCAGAAAGAGAGAGAGAGAGAGAGAGAGAGAGAGAGAGAGGAAAGAAGTCACCAGGTCGAGGACTCAAACTGCGGTTAGCCATGTGGGTGTCTAGCACCGTCACCACTGTGCCATCTAATGGTCCCACAAATAAGTTATTTATAGATCAATTATTGAGATCAAAAGGAATTAAAGAGATATTACAAATTCAAATTATTTTTGATTGTTGGTGATAGTAAATATTTCATCACCTCAAGTGGCTTACGTAAAACATAAATTCAACATATTTCTGCTATCTGTTAAACATCGAGCACACAAATATATCTAGCTACTTCAGTAAACTGTTAAGTAGATAAAACGAGAACAGATCTTTTCCATATCCAACTTATTGACTTAAAAATAAGACACTCTTCAGCTCTTAACATGTATATAAATTTTTTACCTTATAATCTTGCACAATTCAACTTGTGTCATTTCAGTGCTCTAATATGTGTATTAATTCACTATGCAGGGGTACCGGCAAAACGGCAGTAAGAAACTCACATTCTTGGCCTAGCTGCAGTGGTGCAAGCAGAAGGGCGACACTGTGTCATAGTTGGTGATGCATGGGAGGCTCATTCTTGCTCATGGCCTAAAAAGGTCAGGTATGGTGGCACACACCTGTGGTCCTAGTTAACTGGAACCCAGGGAGAGAGAAGTGCAATTTGTCAAGAACATGTCAAAAAATACCTTTGTTTCCTTAAACAAACAAAACTCATTCTTGGGTGGAAAAATGAAAAGTGAAGTGATGTCAACAACATAAGCCACTACTTGGCATATCACCTAATGCTAACACATGGCAGGTCACTACCAACAGTGTATTCTGGGACTTAAGGAACAGAAGTGTACTTCAAGTGTTCTGAAAAATCATTTCATCACCTCTGATAGTAAACCTCTGGAATTCTAGCTTAGATCCTGCTGGGACGTCCTTCAATTTGTTGGAATGCTATAGAAAGAAAAAAAAAATATATATATATATGTGTGTATATATATATATATGTACACACACACTTATATATGGCATTACACACATAATATAGACTGAAGAAAAAAGGCTAAGTCTCACTTCAAGCAATTATCGGTTTAATGGCATCAGTAAAATTGGTATTCTCCCAGTTGTAGCATGAAACAGAAATATAAATATAAGACTATTTTTCAATTATTTGAGTGTTTTCAAGTTGAAAAGCACATCCTAAAACGTCAAACATTCTGCCAGGTTTACTCATCGAATGCTTTTGACATTGTATAAATAAAGAGAGTAACTAATATCACAGTCATACCACTGGGACTAAAGCGTCATTAAATAATAGGATTCAAAAGAGCTGTGTGACTCATCCAGATTTTGTAAAATTCCTTCTATTTTCCAAAAAATAATTAAACCATGCATATTCTCTAAATCAGTCTTTCAGTGTATCAACGTATTTGTTTTCCTGGCTCGATGACAGCTAGAAATGAGAAAGAACAGCCTTTTCCCCTATTATGAGCTGGCAGAGATGTAAAGCCAAACTGCTAAACCCTTTCTGCCAGCTGGGCTGCCCTCTATTGACCATGTAAGGCATTCAGCCGGTAGGTGGAGACTGTACTGCAAGAAGGTAACACGACAGACCTGAATGTAAATATCCCATAACTCAAATAAACTGAAGTTAACTTGAATAAGGAAGTAAAAAAGGGGAGGGGGGAGATAGGAGGGAGAGGAAAAGAGGGAGGGAAGAAGGGGGAGGGACGGAGGGAGAGAACGCATCCTTAAGCAAATTAACTTTCCCCATGGAAGAATGGCAGAGGGCTAACTGCAAGTGAGCCATCCCAGTCCTCTGGAGAGCGAGCTGGACAGAGAGCTTCCGCAGTCTTCAGTCTCCTTTTTAAGTCTGAAGGCAGACTGAGGGCAACATTAGCAGTGCCGGGGAGGAGCAGTGGATATACGCTAATGTCAACCTCTTACGACAATGGTACATTAAAATGAATCACAGTTGTGTATGTTCACCCACTCTTCGGATGTTCTCTTATGCGTAATCTTTGTCAAGGTAGATACATGCTGAGCAGACCATCATATCTATTATGTCTCTTGCCATAAGCTTCAAAACTTTTCTCATTTCTGTGAAAATTCACTGTAAATACTAAGTTGTTTTTCTCTGTGGTTCATCCCCATGCCTGAGACTTGCAGTAATGTAGGACCAGTTTACCATCACTGCCAAAACACTGCAAAAAAAAAGAGGAAATAAGATAAACTCAATTTTTGTTATCCTTAGATGAAACCAAGAAAAAAAGCCATATGTAACACAAATATCCATATATATGCATATACATTACTTACAAGATTATTCCTTTAAGAAAAAAACATGTTTCTTTTTTCTTTCACTCTTCTACAAATTATGCTTTTTCTCATTCTGATTGCTACTTAAATACAGAACTTTTATTTCAAAGCTTAACAATGAGGGGTTCACTGAAGTCAATACATCTATCTAGCATTTCAGTCTAAGCTCATCCATGTACATGGCTGAAATCAATGACAAGGAATGGTCTAAGAAGTGCTTGCGGAATTTTGTAGTTTTTATAGCTATTAAAACTGCATCTTTGCGCACTGAAGTCATCATACATACAGGGCAAAGTCACAGCTTTTACATTTGCATTTATTTTTCACTTAACTTTTAAAACACTACTATAGCGACCAGCAGTTAGCGTAATGGCTACGTTGCTAGATTCCCAAAGTCCTGGATCCGTTGACTTACACTCAACGCCGGGCATGTGTGCATGTATGCCCAAGATCCTGAGAGGAGAATGTAGAAGGGATTGTGGTGTGGCCATCCCCCCTGGAGGTGATTTCTCACTTTCTGTCTCTCTGTCTGTCTCTGGCGAGTACACGCACCCTATTAGCAAAAAACCTCTCCACATGCACACACACAAAAACTACTATAGATGAATATTAACAAAAACAATAGCAAGTAGTGAGCATATCATGATTACAGTCCTTCACTCACTCACCGTAGAATGCGAAATGCCAGCAGCGAGTGTTATTTACTGGCCACGTTAAGAGGTTTGACACTGAACACTCCTCGGGGATGATGTTTATCATCCTCAAATGCTTCTCCATTGTAAAGGCTCTGTCTTTCCTGATTTGGATTTAAGTCCACCAGCTCTACTTGGTCCATTTCATCGGTCTCTTCTATTTCAGAAGTTTTTCCAGCTCAAAGAGTTTATCAGGAGATAGAAAGCCATTCTCAGGGAAATTTACCTTAAATTCAATGATTAGGTGACCCTTTTCATATGGCCTATGACAAATTGGCATGACCCCATTTAATACACACTTGCTATCTCCATGCTTGACAATCTGACCTGGATGAGCAGGGATGACCATGGTTTGGTTATCAAGAGTGGAAATTGGCTTTCGAAGCCACAGAGGGCTTCATCCAGCTGAATGTCCATATATATGGACAGGTTTTATCATCAAGGAAGAACAGCATGGGACCAGCAGTTAGTGTAATGACTATGTTGCTGAACTCCCATGTAGTAGATGTGGTTCAAGTCCTGGACCCAGTGGCTTAAACTCACGCCGGGCACGTGTGCGTGCATGCCCAAGATCCTGAGAGAAGAATGGAGGAGAAGGGATTGCAGCGTGGACATCCCCTCTGGGTGGTGATTTCTCGCTTTCTGTCTCTCTGGCGAGCACATGCACCTTGTAGCAAAAATCTCTTAAAAAAAAAAAGAAAGAAAGAAAAGAAGAACATAACTGTCAGAACATATGCTCTGTCTGATCTAGTACAATGATAGTATCTCCTGGCTCTAGTCCTGGTTCTTGGTCTCCTTCATCATGGACTGTTAGCTTTTTTTTTTTTAATTTTTAATTTAATTTCTTTTTTTTTGGAGAGGTTTTTGCTATAGGACGCATGCGCTCGCCAAAAAGACAGAGAGACAGAAAGCGAGAAATCGCCCCCAGGGGCGATGGCCATGCTGCAATTCCTTTTTCTCCATTCTCCTCTTGGGATCCTGGGCACGCACGCACACGTGCTTGGCGTGAGTTTAAGACACCAAGTCTGGGACTTGAACCGCAGTTGGCTACATGGGATCAGTGACATAGCCATTACGCTAACTGCTGGTCCCATGGACTGTTAGCTTTTGGCCATCTTTCATGCCTTTGTCAATATGAACTTCTAGAATCTTTTTCTCTTGAACTATCTTCCTTCCACTGCAACTTTTACATCTACCTTCAGGACTCATCCGTTCCCCATGGCCCTGGCACTCCATGCAAACATACTGAATTTGCTAAGCCGTTCCAGGTCCTATCTGATGAATTCTTACTTGCATCCCAGTACCCTGGCAACTGGAACAGAACTCCACTGCTCCTTTTTCGGCACCTTGGCCTTGACATTTGTCAGAGATCACATTCTTCTGCAGAGCCAGTTTTCTTGTTGCACCACTATAGAAATCTTCTAAGGTCACCGACAGCTGATGCACACTTTTACCTCTTCTTTTTCCTTCTCTCTCTTCCTCCTCCTCCAAAAAACATACCAAAGATATCCACTGGGGAGCCAAAACCACCACCTGCTCCACCCTCTTTAATTGTCTGCTCTCCTCCTTTGTCATATAATTCCCTTTTCTTCACATCAAAGAGAGCTTCATAAATTTGAGAAATCTGTTTAAACTTCTCTCCTAATCAGGGTGGTACTTCAAGGCCAGTTTCCTATAAGTCTTCAACTCTTCCTGAGTGGCACTGGGTTTGACCCCCAAAACATCATAGTAAGTGGTTTCTTTCACCATCTCCTACAGCCAATGAGTGGGCTGAGGCTGGCATGGGGGAGCAGGAAGGTGTGTGTAGCTCTGCACAGTATTCTGGAAAGTTCCCCCAAAGCATGTTTATATCAGATGCAAATCAGTTATAAATGTTTAATTAAATTGCACTTCGGGCATTTTAGGCACGCGTAAACCTACATATTTTAATCTTGCCTCACTGCTACATCTCTAACTATGTTTATTTTCAGCTGTTTTCTTGTGGTAGTGCTAGTACGTATGATCACTGCCCTGAGGTTGCAAGACTGTAGAATAACGTTAATCTTCTGTAGTCCTTTCAATCTCCTGGACACAGACATGGATGATAGATTATAGGAACAATGTCAAAAGAAGGGAATGAGATACAAACACGTGAACCTTACTTCCTAAGGATACAAAGAAAAGACGGCTTTGAACTATAATTTATTCTTTGATTCTTCGATTACTATGTATAATTTATGAAATCCCTACTCTGTTCAAAGTGTTAGAAAAATAAAGCAAGAAAGTCACCTCTTCTTCCCCAACAAGCAGTTAAAATGGCATGCTACCTTTTAAAATTCAGATGGGAACCAATGATCGTACCATAAGCTGTAGAGTGTATATTGTACAGAGGTGCACGCATCACTTAAAGGAAAAAAGCAGCTCCCATTTACCTCATACAGGGTCCCAACTTCCTGGTCCGGGGAAGGAGCGAAGGACTGATTTACGTAAATAAACTGTAAGAAAGAAAAGAAACCATGAAGATTAATTTTTAATGGTATTCTGATTAACATACACTTTTCTGGATTTTGATCGACTATTTCAAATTCTGTCTTCAGAATTGAAGGGTACTTCCCTAAACTCTTTCTAATTCTAAAACAGTCAGTCTAAAGAGATCTTTATGAAGGTCACATTATTCCTCCAGAGGAGGAACTTTTGTTCCTAGAACATTGTTTCCCAACTCTTCCTAACTTAGAAACTTTTAAATACCTTTTCACAAGGTATTTTTTCATTGCCAGGAGGGTGCACACTCACCAGACAGATGAGAAAGTGCACTCTACCATGAGGTGTGCTCATGCCACAATCTCGTCTCCATTTCTCCATCCTGTCGGGACTTTGGGCACACAAACATGCTCCTGGTGTGCTTTTCAAGCCACTGGGCAAAGATTCAAACTGCGGTCGGTCACGTGAGTTCAGGCTCTCTTGACTACGAGGCTATGGAACTAGCTCACAAATAGCTTTTGAAGGACTATCTTAAAAATCACATTAAAAACATTTCCCACTAATCCAATAATCAAAGACAGAATTTCTCTTCAGCAAATGTCATACATTCAGCTCAAAATCAGTAACATTCGAGAGAAATCTATGCATTTTTTCTTCGGTAATCACAGACATACAGGTTTTTTTGCACCTTTACCACCTTTGATAACTTTGAAGGTACTGAACTTCAGGCTGGTGCCACTAGTATAGCCACTTCCTGGCAAATCACCAGAAAAAAGCTAGCATAATTTCAATTGTCCTTATATCCTTATAGCCATTATTTTTGAAAGATTTATTTATTTAGTTTTATTTATTATTATTTAATTTTGCTATAGGACACATGTGCTCACCAGAGAGAGAAAGAGAGAAAATGATAAAGCAAGCCTCCAGGTCCGGGACTCGAATCACGGTCAGCCATGTGGAAGTCCAGCACTTTAACCATCATGCCACCTGTTGGTCCCTACAGCCAACAAGGATTCACTGTTCAATGTTTTAGTTTAGTCTGTTTTTACTAAAATATTTCTGAAGACACTAAAACAAAAGATTACACTGTCAAAGTGGCTTTAGATAATCCTTTTTAGAAAACAATTATTATTTGCAGGTAATATATTTAATTTTCTTTTAATATCTATAACCATATTTTTTTTTTTCAGAGGCTTTTTGCTAGAGGGCGTGTGTGCTTGCCAGAAAGAAAGACAGAGAGACAGAAAGTGAGAAATCACCCCCCAGGGGGATGGCCACACCACAATCCCTTCTCCTCCATTCTCCTCTCGGGACCTTGGGCACACACGCACACGAACCCAGCATGAGTTTAAGCCACAGGGTCCAGGATTCGAACTGCGGTTGACTACATGGGAGTCCAGTGACATAGCCATTAAGTTAACTGCCGGTCCCTCTATAACCATGGTCTGAGACCAAAAATATCCTGAGCCTAATCAAATCAATCTTTGTGCTTGTTTGCTTTTAACTACCAAAAGGTGTTATTTTGGTCACAATTATAATAATATTGTTTACGTTTCTTCTTTGGGCAATACAGTGTGGTGATTAAGTATAGGTTCTATTGAGAGATCTGGGTTTGGGACCAGCAGATGGCATAATTGTTATGTTGCTAGACGCCCACTTAGTCAACCACAGTTCAAGTCCTGGACCCGGTAACTTAAAACTCACGCCAGACATGTGTGTGTGTGTGTGTGTGTGTGCCCAAGATCCTGAGAAAAGAAATGGAGGAGAAGGGATTGCGGTGTGTCCATCCCCCCCAGGGATGATTTCTCACTTTCTGTCTCTATGCGAGTGAACACACCCTATAGCAAAAGTCTATCTTAAGAAAAAAAAAAAAAGAGAGATCTGGGTTTAAATCCTGTCTCAATATACAAATAACATTTCTTGGCCTGTTTTCTTATCTGAAAGATGTGGAAAATAGTACCAATACCTCTTGGGGTGGACAGGAAAGTGAAAATGAGATAATACACACCAAATATCAGCGGTATATGTCAATAATGTCAAGAGACATTATTATTGTTACATTATTTCAAAATAGCCCATGTTAAAATATCAAGTCTAAGTAAATGTCTAACATAATTTCAGAACTATAAACAGAAAGTGTTGTGCATTTTAATATCAATTTCCTGTAAACATAGATATAATTTGTGTGTTTAGCTTATGGTATTTAATTTATCCTTTTGGTACATTTTAAATGGGGAGTCCTACAGAACATATTCATGTGTGCCTATGATGTGCTGAGAACCACACAAGGTGGGGAACGTATTTATATGACCTCTGCCTCAAGGAGCTTATAGTCTATTGGAGGGGCAGACATACATGAATAGTAACACTGACTAATTGGAGGGGCAGACATACATGAATAGTAACACTGACTAAGAAAAGTGCAAGTGCTACAGAGATGCGGCATTAGTCGAGCAAATGGATCAGGGAATGCTTCTTGGAAGAACCTCGTGAGGAATAAGCAAGATTTAACCAGGCGAGGAAGCAAGATTTAACCAGGTGAAGAGAGCTCTTTGCCTTTTTTGAAGGCAAAGATGACAAAATGAGATGGGGTGTGTTCATGGGGACAGTAGAGTAGACAGGTAGAGAACCGCTAGAATTCAACTGATTTTTGTAAAAGCAAATAATTAAAAATAAAGCAATTTGGGCCAGCAGGTGGAGTGTAATTAAGATGCTGGATCCCATGGGACTAGATATGGTGCAGTGGTTACGTCACTGGACCCCACAAGGCCTACTGAAGTTGGAGCCCCAGATCTGGTGGCTTAAAACTCAGGGTTGGGGGACCAGCAGATGACATAATGGTTACGTTGCTGGACTCCCATGTAGTCAACGACAGTTCGAGTCCCGGACCTGGTGGCTTCGAACTCACACTGGGTGCATGTGCGCCTAAAATCCCAAGAGGAGAATAAAGGAGAAGAGATTGTAGCATCGCCATCCCCCCTGGGGGGCATGATTTCTCACTTTCTAACTCTCTGTTTCTCTCTGTCTCTCCAGTGAGTGTACATGTTCTATAGCAAAAATCTCTCTTAAAATAAAACAAAAACAAACTTAGGGCTGGGAACACGTGTTTGCATGCCCAAGATCCCAGGAGAATGGAGGAGAAGGGATTATGGCATGGCCATTCCTCCTGGAGGGTGATTTCTCACTTTCTGCCACCCTATAGCTTAAAAACAAAAAACAACTCTCCAAAAGAAATAAGAAGATGCTGGATCCCGCATGGCCTACTTTGCTCTTTGAATCCTGGACTCAGCGGCCTGATAATCATGTCAGGCTTATGTGCATGCAAGCCCAAAGTCCCAAGAGGACAATGGAGAAGGGACTGTGGCATGGGCATTCCCTGCCAAGAGGTGATTTCTCCCTTTTTCCCCTCTATCTGTGCACCCTACAGTAAAAAATCTAAAAAGCAAAAAACAAAAAAACTGACAAAGCAATTCAGCTAGTTTGAGATAAAGCCATAAACATATACCATAAAGCTCTATGCAATTAATAAGTTATTACTATAGATACCATTAAAGAGGTTTATAGCAGAACCTTAGAACTGGTTACTTTGTTTTTGAGCGAGAGAGAGATTTTTTGCTACAGAGTATATGTGCTTGCCAGGGAGACAGAAAGCGCTAAATCACCCTAACCCCACATGGAGGACAGCCACACCGCCATCTCTTCCCCTCCAGTCTCCTCTCAGGATTTTGGGCATGTGCACACATTAGCCTGGCCTAAGTTTTAAGCCACTGGGTCTGGGACTTGAACAGCGGTCAGCTATGTGGGAGTCTAACAAGGTAACCATTATACCATCTGCTGGTCCGTAATCTGTCACTTTTAAAGTAGACAGAGTTGCCCTGGGTTTATTAAAGTACACTCCATTAAAGTAAAATTTTCGAAAGTCAATAACTTGGAATGTTATCCTGCTTTCTCTTTGTTCCTGTAATCTTGTATAGGAATTCACCTTCGTACTTCCTCCTGCTTATTTTTAAGTGAAGGTCATCTTCAATTTTTTGAATGAGGGGGGTTAGGGTAGCTTTATAACTCCAGAGCTCTTCCTGTTCTTTTGTTTTTGCAGTGTTTAAAAACCTGAAGGCCTGCTTCCAGAGCTGTGCTGGCTCTGTTCCCCTCCAGGCTGATCTGGTCCTTCCTTTTTCTTCCATTCTTTTGTCCCTTCCTTTGCTCAATTTTGATTTCATTTCCCGAAGTTCCTCCTCAGTATGGTTAGGTTGTCAAAGTATACACTACTGGGTTGATTTTGAAAGCTCTTGGGGACTGGACTCCTCGAGCCCGAGTCTTCCTTGGGGTGGACACACGGTAATCACGTGCTACAGGACAGGGCACAATCCCTCTCAGTCCCAGCTACTATCCTTAAACTGGCCCGCTCTGTGTTCTGAGGAGGACCTGCTAGCTATTTTCAGGTTACCTTCCTCAGTGCTATCAGATGCCAACACCTCACTGCTCGCTGCTTCCCTCAGCACAGACACTGACACCATGGTCCGTGGCTGGCGATTCTGTCTCCACCGAAAGTTCTGGAGTTCATGAGGACACCTTGTCATCTTGTTTAGTTATAAATACTAATCATGGGTTTTGGTTTTGTTACCTAGTTGACAAGGTTTGTGTGGGAATTCATCTATGCCTTCTGATACCTCTGCTATCCCTTTAGAATTTCTGGCTTTACTTTTTCCTTTCACCATTTATTTTGCTAAAATGATGTACAGTTAGATAAAGCCAGAAGATGTTAGTTCTAATTTAATTTAGGAAAGTGACATTCCTATAGCTTCAAATAGGAAAGAATGATCAGATTCAG